CCACATGTAAGTATTTTAATGGCTCTTGATACCTGGACCAGCATCCATTTTTTCCAGTCTTGAACAACTGGTTTCCAGGAATCAAGGAATTAAAGACAAATATATTTTTAAGGATGTTATTCAAACTATAACGTGTTTTCCAAGATGTAAACTTGGTTTGAGTTTCTGGTCAAAATAGAGACAAAGAATAAAAGAGACAATCATGTGATATATGTCTAGCTGTTATTTAGTTGTTTTGCTTTTACTGTTGTTTGTTCCAGACAAGTCACTGAAGGACACTCTGGACAAAGTGCTGCTCAGTGGTTATTTCGACAGAGCACAACCTCATCAGAATGGGAGGTGCGAAGAGGAAGAGGAGCAAGAGGAGCAGACTGTAGTGGATGACTCTAATGCTGTGAAGCAGCCATCCGAACCTGGTAACTAAGCTTAAACATTAGCAGATATGTGTTATATTTTTATTATATTCAAACTGTCCTGAAATTTTTTTTTTATAGAAGCAGAATTGGCTACCGAAAAATACGCTGAGATAATTCCAGTGGAAACTACAGAGGTGAGATTTCGATATGTGTTGCATTACTAAAGCATAACAAATCCCCCAAAACACAACTATGCAAAGTTTTGTTGTACTGCATTTTACATGTATTTTAAATGTACTTAATTGTTTGCATTTTCTTGTGTTATAGTTTGTCAACAGACAGTTCATTCCAGAAACTACTTACAGTAGTACAGACGATGACCAAGTGGAGAAGTGGGCGGAGGAGGCCCAGGTAATAAAACACTACTGCCTCACCATAGTTCTTAATGCAAACATGCATACGTACTGTGTACTCTAATGCAGTGATTCTCAAACTTTTTTCATTCATGTACCCCCTTTGAAAAAAAAATGCAGCCATGTACCCCCTGATCAGTGCAAAAACAATTTGTTAGGGAAGAAATGCCTATATAAAGAGGTACAGTGCTGCACCATCGGTGTCTGATTTATTAAAACAACAACCTTGTAACTGAGAAACACTTAAATGCTACATTTCAAATGTTTACAATCCATCACTAAATTCATGGCAAACCAATTTTAACATCATGCAATAACACTAAGATGACATTAGTTGCATTGAACTGATCTTTTTAATAAGTTGTACTTACAATGTAGTGAAACATGGGCTTGTGCTTCACTGAGGATCTTTGTTATTCTCAGTGACAGGAAGGCCACTGCAGTTATTACACTTTGCGTTTTGAAATATGTGTAACTCTGTTAATATAAAACCCACTCTGCTCAAACTTCCTTACATTTCCTAAAATTGGTATTTATTTATTTTTTCAATTAACATAAAAATAAATCTCACGTACCCCCTGCAGTACTCCAACGTACCCCTAGGGGTCCGCGTACCCCCATTTGAGAACCACTGCTCTAATGTGTCCTTGTGTTGAATAGATGGTGAATTCCCTCCAGCACCAGCCCCCTGCCCAGCTGGCTGCAGAACCAACCGATGCTGAGGACCATGGCAGTCCCCCCCCAGCAGCTGACCCCGTGGTCAGGAAGCAGGTAGTGCAGGACCTCATGGCCCAACTGCAAGGAACGTACAACTTCATGCAGGTAAACATTTCCAGCATCATATAATGTGTTGTCTTGCCCGGACGACGTTTTTTTTGTTGTAGTCTTCTTCTGCACTACCCTTATATCTGATCCATGACCCAACAGTGCATTTACTCTTTTTGGTTTTCCTAGGAGTCCATTTTGGAGTTTGACGGCCAGGCACTGGACCCAGCCATTGTGGCTGCGCAGCCGATGAAGCCTGCGCAGACTGTTGACATGCAGCAGATGGGCTGCCCTCCTGGTGAGTGTCACTTCATTTACCTGTGCAGATTTTACAGTAGTGTCCTCGCGGTGTTCTTTGATGTGGATATATTAATATATGATTGGATTCCATTATATGATTGGAATCATTTGAATATAATAAATAAAGGTTTGAGATTAATACTAAATGCATAATGTTGGTAAAAATTGTTCCCTAATGTGCCTCTTTTATTTTCTTCCCAACAGCCCACTCAGAGTCCAGACTTCCTCAAACAAGTGCAGTGTCTGGACCGCAGGAAACCTCACAAGTGAGTAGAGTGGGTGCAAGAGGGAGGCGCTTGTTTATCCGTTTGCCTAAAAGAGTAGTAGGGTGAAAAAATAAAAAGTTCAAAAAATGATAAGAGTAGTATGGTATGGGTTGTTTTTTGTAATATGCAGGCTGTATTTATAAAAGCGCTACTAAAAGGAGTTAATGTAATGCTCACCGACGTGTCATGATTTACTTTATAACGGGTAGATATTGGAATCATTTGAATATACTAATAAAAAGATAGAAGGGAGCTTTTAAGGTAAAAAATAAATCACACATCCCGTCTTTCCCACTGATCTCTAAAATCCTTGTTTCCTTGCCTTCTGAATCCCCTCCTTGACCCCTCCCCAGGCCTCGATCTGTGTGTCATCTGAACAGTCCCCCTCCCCATGTTCCCTGTCCTCTGCTTTCCCACCTGTCTCCAAACCCACCCACACTGGAGGCATCAATGTCAACGCCGCTCCCTTCCAGTCAGTGCAAGCGGTACGCTTTCTATCTGGGTATAAGTAAACGATCTGACCATGAACATGTTAGGACTTATTCAATACATTCTGTTTGAAACTGTCAGGTTCCATACTTGTTTCTACAAAATCGATGTACAGCCAGTGAATTGCTTTTTTGTAGCAGCGAATTAACAACAAAATATGTGTGCACCATCTAAATAGGTGACATTTCAACACGTCCCCTAATTTCCCAAACCTAAAAAATACGTTTGACCTTCAGGTGTTTTATGAAAATTGCAATTTTGATACAGGAACCCTTTCTTTCCATCCTAAGGTATTTAATCTGAATGCACCCATTCCTCCGGCTACTGAAGGCCAAGCAGAGCCTCTGAAGCAGCCCGGTCAGTTCCCTGGGGGCTACGGGCAGGGCTTCAACGTTCAGTCAGAGAGTGCTGTGGTGCAGCCAGACATCCCACAGGAGACATTACAGTCAGGTGAGGCATCATCACATGCACATTATTTACTGTCATCTATGCAATCAGAGGGAAAATGATCACACACTTTGAGGTTGTGTTTCTTTTGAGCATGTATATGCAATGGAAACCATAAGATAAAAAATAATGTCTGTTAGAACAGGGGGGGTCAGTGCTGAAAGACAAAAATCCCTTCATGGTTTGATCGGCATGATTGTAGATCTTTCAGAATGCAGAAAGTGATTTTAAAAAGCATAACTAACTCCCCGCCATTGCGTCATAGAATTGTTAAATCTTTTATTTTCTTCTGTCTAGTTGTTGGTGGCTTCCAGCCACAAGAACAGGTCATGCCCTCAGCCGGAGGTCATGAAGAGTCCGCTCCAGGCGCAGGGTTTGGACAGTCGGGACAGTCCTTTTATAACAGCAGGGGTGTGCCCAGGGGGGGGCCCAGGAATGGCCGTGGTATGATCAACGGATACAGAGGATCTTCCAATGGATTTAGAGGTAATGGCTTCATACTATGTTTCACAGTCATGTTTCCTTAGGATTCCTTCTCATGTCAAAACATTTTGAGGTTCCACAAGTCCAAATGTAAATGCTGTGTTTTGTCTTCAGGGGGATATGAAGGATACCGCGCTCCTTTCTCAAATGCTCCCAGCACCGGTTACAGTCAAACCCAATTTAACGCGCCTCGGGACTATTCCAATAACACCTACCAACGGGTAAGAAGCCGAAAACCAAAACCTGTTATTCATTTAGTTTTCAAACGAAAAGGCTCTTGTGCGGGGATAGTGGTAGCATTTTGCCCAGTAGTATTTTTGCCAAACAATTTTCATTCAATAAATGACAACAAAATACCATCATTGTCTTAAAAATGGTTTTGTATATCCATTTTTGTTTCTTTAAGGAGGGATATCAGCAAAACTACAAGCGGGGAGCAGCCCAAGGACCCCGAGGCTTGTCTAGAGGAAATGCTACAGCATTGAGATCCTAAAGGATCCTGAGGACCGTCAAGTCGCGCCACGTTTAACATTCAGGATTTTGAATGTGTTCGCCCCAGTTCACTTTTATAACAATGTTTTGTTTCTCATTGGTAATCTTATTTTTTTAACTCTTGGCCTACTTATCAGTCAGCCTGCTTAGGTCAGTCTAGATCCTCTCCATGTTCTAACACAAAATGCTGAACTTCACCACATGTAGGATTATCAGCGAGTCTGTGATATAAAACAACAAATAGATATTCCTGTAAACTTGAAAGATTTCATTAATTTATTTTTTGTACAAAATAAATGCAAAAAATACCCTGCCACTGTCGATCTGATTCCATGACAATGATTTTCTTTGCCCTGTGCTGCCAGCCACTTTTCCTCTCGATCTCATAAATCTCATTAAGCTTTTTTTTTTTACCCCCGTCACCTCTTTGTACGCTGATTTGGTTGAGACTGTTTCAATAAAGTTGTGTTATATTACCTTCTGTGGAAGTGAACTGCTTTGCTGTTATAAATTAGTTTATTTTTATTCTGTCTGATGTGGTGTTTTTCAGTTCACTTGTGCTGGTAATAAAGGTGTTTGGCAAGACCATCACTAACTCCAGTACCACTAGATCACCCAGAGTGATCAGGTAATTAAAGCTACCATGTGTATATCTGATGCAGATTTCATTACTTTTAATTTCATAAATCTTAGAACAATTTAACTAAGTGAATAGTTACTGCGCCTGTGTTGAGCTCAGCCTGTTCACTTAATTATTCAGCTTTTACTGTATGTAAACCGGCAAGTGTATAAAGGATCAAATGCTGTTTAAGATGGATAGAATAGATAGGTATTTACACAGGTAAGCACACTTTGCTACGAACATTGAAGCTATTCATTTCAACATTGACATTGACTTACATCTTAAATAGTGTGTGTAGATTAGCCATACTGAACTGTTTAAAGTTGTACTGCTGGAGTTTCATTGAGTGGTTAATCTGTTCACAAACTGAAAGGTCATTGTTTATTATCTAGATTTGAGATGTAAAGTATTAAACAAAAACAGTGTCCATTTTGTGCAAAAAATGATGCAGTAATGTCTCAAAGGAAGGCTTGGCACAGAAAACAAATGACACCGCACAAAGAGTAAAAGTTGTATCCCATATCTAGATTGTGGATGAAGTAGCACCGGACCTGCTTTCTCACTGGATACAAATAAAGTCTTTAGAAAAAGTGGCAATAAGTCAACACTTGTTGCCATGGCCATTCTTCCAGCATAAAGAAACCACAACACTACATGTACAAAGCAACCTTGATAACACACCAAATACAATTGTGAGAGAAATATGACATGCCAAGTTTGTGAAACACAAAGTAATAAACATGTAGTGCCAAACACTATGTTGTGAGCTAAAAACAAATTCAGAAGTTTCCATGTTACCATTTTAACCGAAATTACTAGACAAAAAAACAGTGGTAAGATCAGACTCTGAACCGCTTTGTCTTTTTTTAATCTTTAAATTTACAGCAAAAATGTAAACGAATCCAGCAGTTGGTTGAAGAAAATTGTGATAATACACATTGGAGTAAAAGTATACAACTTTACCAGCCAAAGGGCTTTATTAAAACAAATGATAAATGTGAGATGTTCCTTACCTATGCTTATTAAAAAACAAACTTCTGATTTCGACACCAAAGTCAGTTGGGTAAACAGCTAACCAGAATCCACATTAAGAAAGTAGGAAAAGTATTGGTATCAGTCTAGTTTCATGAGGAAAGTTTGGTGACAGTAGAAGCAATAGATAATGGCAGGAAAGGCATTATTTTGCTCTTAATGCCAGTATAGAAAGTCATCAAAATGTCTATTGCAGTCCATTTCTATGTTTGAGTACAGTGGTATACGTTTCACCACAAGACACATGTAAACTAATCTCTTTTTAGAGATGTTTTGGGGTATTTCGATAGTACATTTAAATGACTTTTTAGATCTCATTCCCCTCAACAGCTTCACTGGCCATATCCCACAGGTTATCTGAAACCTCTCCGCTTGTAGAGAAGGAAGCATGGCATTGTCAGAGGTTCTGGATCTTGAAAAGCAAACAGCAGGTAAAGAAAGCTCACCAGAATGATGTTTTTGTAAAATTGTATTACCAAACATTTCTAATGTAATCAAACACTCCTTGAAAATGTAAATATGCACATTTTAGGATGCACAGCCTTGGTTGATCATTTTATCATTTGTAATCTAAGGATTATCAATTATCAAACACCGGTATTATTCAGCTCTCCTTGTGCTGCTCTCCTTCATCTCAAGTTTCCTCCAAACCTAAGAGTCATGCTGGTTAAAGAGGCCTAATACTCGGGAGGAACTGCTCCTCTGCACGCTGGAGTGGAGGTGCTTCAAATAGTCTGATAGTGGTGGTTCAAGTTCTGACAGCATTGTTATGGCACATTATGTAGGCCTTGTGCAGCCTCCTGGTGGCCTGGGGGCAGATCGTGGCGCGCCTGGGGGAGGCCTTGCTGGGCCAGGTTCTGATGGTGTTGTTGTTGTTCATGGTGTTCCTGAAGTGTATTTTGAGGGTCTTGGGGTTCAAAATGATGCTCGGGCTGTTGGGCCTCTTGTTCATGATGCAACTGGTTGTCAACTGCGTGCACCTCTGGGATAGCATTTCCCTCAACTGTAAACATATACAAGGTATACAGATGTCAGACAGTAAAATCAAACAACGATCAAAGTTAATATTGTGCAGTTTAAACTCACCGTGAACCTCGGGAGGGGGTTCTATTTTTTGTGATTTTAACCGTTCCATATGCTCCACAGCCTGTAACAAAATGGTATTGTTTTATTATATTTGGTGAGTGCAAGCAGTGCTGTAGATAGTCACAGAAACGTAATAGCATAAATAAAAAACAATCATAGCTAAAGGACACACTGATATTGAAACCAGATTTTTCGTATATTTATAGCATCAGATTTGGACACATTCACTGTTAAACAAATATATTGTAGCAAACCTAGCCATTCATGTAACAGTATTAATGGCACTCCTTACCTGTTGCAGCTCTATTTTCTGTGCATTCAGCTGCTCCTGCTGCTTCTCCAGGTCGTCTCTTTGTTTCTGGAGGTCGAAAGACTTTTCGCTGAGGTCCTGTTCCTGCTGAACCAGGTGATCCTCAAACTCCCGCATCTCCTCGTCTGTGTAGGCCTGGTTCTGCTCCAGAGTCTGAGGAGCACGGAGTGGACGTGACAATCAATCACTACTCCTACAGTCCTATCCTACATCTATTAACAAAATGGCTTTAAGATTACATTACTCTTAAATCATGTCGACATGATAAATATACTGTGTCTCACCTCCCAGCTGTCTGGCTCCAAGAACTCCTTCTTCTTAGTAGCAACCAGGAACTCATCTAAAGAGACCAGCCTGTCGTTGTTAGAATCCACCTATGTATAAGCAAGACAGGAGCAAACATGAATCACATATGCTTTAATTTATTGACAGACAAGGATATATTACAATTAAAATTACAGCCTAGCAGTTGCATGCCTTTTGCAACCAGTACAGTTTTCATTATTTCTATCCAAAATGACATCACTATTATTACCAGCTGCAGCGCTTGTATTGTTTTTGCCCTATGAGTATGTGTCTTTATAGTAAAATATTATCTTTGAGACATCTACTGTTGCAGTAACTACTACAGAAGTGGTTTGGAAATTATTAGTGTTATGACCCTGGGTCGTTAGGTCATTTGTGTGTATATTTGTCCCTCCTGTGTGTGTGTGTGTGTGTGTGTGTGTGTGTGTGTGTGTGTGTGTGTGTGTGTGTGTGTGTGTGTGTGTGTGTGTGTGTGTGTGTGTGTGTGTGTGTTCAGTTCAGTTCAGTTATTATGCTCCAAATATCTGGAACAAACTCCCAGAAACCTGCAGGTCCGCTGCAACTCTGACTACTTTTAAATCCAGGCTGAAGACTTTTATTTTTGTCGCTGCTTTTAATTGAACTATTCATATCTTAGACTGCACTGTAACTTTTATCCATGTACTTTTTTCTTTTAATGTTTAATTGCACTGTAACTTTTATCCATGTATTTTTTCTTTTAATGTTTATTTTATTAGCTTTTCTTTTTAATGACTGATTTTAAATGCCATTTTCTTAATCTCTTTCATTTTTTGTAAAGCACTTTGAATTGCCTTGTGTTGAAAAGTGCTATATAAATAAACTTGCCTTGCCTTGCCTTGTGTGTGTGTGTGTGAGAGTGTGTGTGTGAGCAAGCAGGTGGTGCCCGTTAGCTGATTAGCTACATGTACCCTGGTCAGGCTGATTGGTCCACCTGAGGAGACGGGAGCATTTTAAGCTGAAGCCGTGCAGTTCCTCGGCCGCTCTCTCTGACTCAACTTCTCCTACTCTGCGCGTGTTGAGATCTTTGTCCTGTTGTGCTGTGTACTGACATGTTACCGTATACCGGTCCTTCTCTTCTGCTGTGAGACGGTGGAAGAAAAGCTGTTTAACCTGTCTTTGTAGACACAAGTTATTTTACTCAGGAGTGCAAAACCCTTTTCTTTGGTTAATTCGTTTTCTCCTGTTTAATTTTAGAGTAGGTAAGAAGCCTGTACGTTTATTTTTCTCATTTGTTAGGTAAGATTTTTGTGCTAAAGGTTAGTTCGTTTTGTGGTTTTGTTACTCCTGTTTGTTATTTTTGTAAACAGACTTTCAGCATGTTTTTGTGATTCTGATTTGGTAATTAAATTACCAAACGTTTTCTCTGCCTTGGCGTCCATGTTCTTAGGAGTGGGAAAAGTGGGGAGAGTGCAACTTTGTGCTGCGCCTAGGTTCCCCTAGGCCTGGGCGTAACATTAGTTTCAGGATAACTTTCAGTTTCATTGTATGGGACATTTGTGTAATATTGTCATAATTAGCAAATACATGTTTAAGTTATGGCCAACACAACATTTTAACAATAATTCTCCAAGCAGTCCTGAGATATCGTGTTTAAAACCCTTGACCACCAAACTCTTATCAGTTCATCCTCGAGTAATGCTTTCCTGAAAGATTGCATTCACAAAGATGATACTGATGTGTGGTCACATGGTTGTTGACCTTTGACCCACAGAATCAGTTCATCCTTGGATCTGCTGGGACTTTTCTGCCACATTTGAAGAAAATCCTTGACTGACGCATGCATAAAACCATTTTGTGTATATATGTACTGGGTGCGACTTACTGTACCTCATTCATAACATGCTCTCTCATACGTAGCCTCTCTTCCTCCATCTCCACCATATCATCCTCTTCGTTGGTGGGGTCATAGATTTTTTCCAGCTAAAATAAGAGACCTACAGTAAGTGAGAAGTCCATCGACTGAAACATAGCATATATTTAGAGGCCTTTACCTCTTTAGTAAACAAGGCCTCCAGCTCCTGCTCATCAAAATAGCCATCTCCATTGCTATCTGCATTATAACAAAATTGAGAAAAAAGACTAAGAATGAAAATACCATCATCTGCTATATAACATATCATGATTAATATTATTATACAATACATGTGATGGAGAGTAATATACATCATCCCTTCATTCTTTACAAGTTGGTTAAGGTCTTACCATGCAGGTTGAAAAAGGTCTTAGGGTCAAAGTCTTCAGGGTCCAGGCCATCAGCTTCCTCCCACACCTCTTTCAGTTGATTCTGACTACCCTGCACAACATAGAAACATCCGTTTCAATGCCAGATGGAAAAATAACAACACATTTAAACATTTAGTAGATAGCTCACATGGTATGACTAAAAAACGTGTATAGTTTCAGAAACGGAACATAAAATGGTACAAAGAAAGAGATTCCCTTAATTGGCTGAAATAAAAGTGTGTGTGTGCACCTGAGACAGACTCACCGGGTGGTTGACTTTAGGGTGGTCGGCGTGCTTTTTCCTCAGCTCGTCATAGTGGTCCTCCTCTTTCTTTCTCTCGTCATCGTCCAGTGTCTTCAGGTGTTCCCGTCTGTCATGGTCTTTCGTCATTTCATACTGCTTGAACTCCTCGTGTCTGTCTTTGTCAAAGTTCTCCAGATCATTTGTTGCCTTGATACATAAGGGGAAAATTGGGTTTGAAATAACGCTTTTTTTCAAATGAAGTAAATAGCATGCAATGTCCTGATTAACAGTTTTTAGGGAATCCATTTCTTTTTTTTAGCCCACCTAGAAACTCAACTAAGCTTATTTATATTTGAAGCGGCATGCCTTCAGTATATAGTGCTGTTTAATGATATTTCTGAATCATTCATTAATTGGATCAGTTTTCTTTTCAGTGTCATTTGGGAATGAACAGCCCCTTGTCTTCGAGGTGCTGTTCATTCTCAAATGACAAATGGAATTGTCTTGGAATTGGCATAAACTTTTCTACTTTCTTAAAAAAAAGTTTCTTGACCATTAATGCTAATATGAAGAACAGTTCACGAGACAATAGCTGCAGAGCTTACGTAAGGATCCATAAAGACAGTGCTGTTTGCTAAACTCGACAAATTACTTTACTAAAGTCATTGGCAGTTATTATAAGCGGTATGTGTTTACATATCCCTATTCCAAGATGTTATGGCATAAAGTAGCATCAGAATTACCGATTTGATGAGCCGATCCAGGTCATCCACTTCAAACGTATGAGGGTTGTTGTGGTTCAGGTACTCAAACTGTTTCAGCAGAGCCTGGTGGTCCACTGCTATGTCTATTCAGGGAGTAATCAATGACAGAAATTAAAAACAACAATAGTTACATCATAGAATTTTCTTTTTATTTACATGTAATGTCATATCAAAGCTGTAGCATTTAAATAAAAGTAAAATATACATTGTGTAGCACAACATACCGTTCCCTCCTTCAAGGTCTTGCTTTGCCTTAATCAGAGTTCGGAGTCGGTTCACCTCCTGCCTCTTCAACTCATCCAGTTTGGTTCTGACGTGATGGCTGACAAAGTCCAGCTCTTTGGCCAGTTTACCTTGCTGTATTATACATGAATTAATTTGTGTTAGCTGGAGATGGTTACATCTTGGGGTTGTAGTAGTACATATAATAAATAGATTTATCAAATATTTCAATAAAATGGTTATGTTATTTTGTAATATTGCATTTTCCCAATTCAATGTTTTTTTGACAAACATCTGATATTGAGCTATTTAACTTGATTTTGAACATAAAGAATGGTGCCAAAGTTATATTAAAAAAACTGAAGAAAAGTTATTGGTAATTTGGCAGTGTATCTAAAAAGAAGATCCCCATTTGTAGCAGACCTGGACAAGTGAAAGCCCATTATGTCAAAGTCAGAGTAAGGATTCAACAGTAGTTTACACAAGCCATGCTGAAAGGACTAAACAAAAGAATGGCGGGATACCTTGATGTCTTCCATGTCTGTGTTGTGGAGCTTTTCCCTGAAATGCTGATCTTTCTCTAGAAAATCGATGACTTCCCTGAGGTAGCGGTCATAGTGGAGTCCAGTGTCCTATCAAATGTAACAAATCAAATGTCACCAAAACATTTCATATATCAAAGATAACAGACTAAGCAATACTACAATGATAATCACTTTTAGTTTATTATTAGCACATATTTGAGAGATCTGTTATACTGAAGACTGTAAGTGAGTGACAGAATATTTTCTTTCAGGGAATATATGTCTGCTTAACATCATAACAGATCCTCTGTCCAGATGTTTTATGTAGAGATGACAGGTTATTACATATAAATCTCTATAAACTGTATAACGGCCTTTAGCAAATTGCCATACATTGCAGCTGTTCGGTGGTTCAAGACCACTTACTTATTCCTCACTAAAAGGTTGCATGTGTGATGTTGTATGCATTCTCACCTCAGACAGACTCTACATGGCATTTGTTTAAGCTCTTTTAAGTGAGTATATACATATTTATCATGGACAAAATGTATCCTAAGGCAGACATTAGAGACTCCAATCTGTGCGCTCATGAAGCTACAACATCTGGAGCTTTTGTACTGCTGATGAAATTAAATTGTGTAATTATGAGTTTTGAATGGAGTATCTGACTGAGGTAATATAATGTGAGTGCAACAAGGCATAAGGCCATAACTCTGTAAATTATTCCGAGTGCTGTTACCCAGTGTTCTCTCTCTTGTTTACTGCCTATAAAAACAGCTGATAGCAGTGACATAATTGTATAGCATTAGGGCAGGGGCGGATCTACCGGGGTGGCATGGGGTGGCAACTGCCACCCTAAACAATAGCCTTGCCACCCCAGCTGCCACCCCAGTTGGCATCTTTGTTTTGAAAGAAAAGTTGTGGCTCATCGGACATTTATGAGAGAAAGTCTCTAATGTCCGAGTGCAAGTGAATGTAGCACAAGATGCACGTCATGTAACCCCTCCCCCGGTCCTGGCGCGAGAGTGGAAATATGATTGGTGGCGAATTCACTTGAATGGGGGGACGGCGCAAAACGAGAAGCCTTTCGGACCCAAGCACTGAAGTTGCGGTCTACACTGACAGAGAAGAGAATGTCAAGTTTGGCTGTACTCAGCATTGAATCAAAACGCACTACAGCTGTTGATCTTAATAAGTTTGTGAGGCGTTTTGCTGAACAAAATAGTAATCGCCGCATTCAATCAATCAATCAATCAATGTTTATTTATATAGCCCAATATCACAAATGTTACATTTGTCTCAGTGGACTTTACAGTTTGTACAAAATATCAGTATGACAATACGACACCCTCTGTCCTTAGACCCTCACATCGTACAAGGAAAAACTTCCAAAGAAAACCCACAGTTTAAAGGGAAAAATGGGAGAAACCTCAGGGAGAGTAACAGAGGAGGGAAGCAACAGAATGTCTATTCAGCTGTAATAGACATGCCAACTTGATGCTCTGCTCACGGATGACTCGATGAGAATAACAAACTGTTAAGATGATGACCTTGTATGCGTGTATATCTTTTTTTCTTTGAGGGGGTCTGCCCCCAAAAAACAGTTTTAAGTCCTGAGAAAGTAAAATAAGACGGTGTGTAAAACTACACTGCCCAGCCAACAGAAAGTAACCACTTTGATGTAACTAGGCCAGTAGGTAAGGACCTTCCACTGGATAATAACTGCAGCGATGTTTTAGCTGAATACACGTTTTTTAACCCTAACTGATGCAGTTAGTCACTTCTTTAATGTTTGTTCTTTCTGATGTAAAGTCAAGGTTGTAACTGTTTATCAATAATGATATAATTACTTGTTTTTCAAATTAGAAGGAGGGTGAGCAAGCATCTTGATGAACATTCATCATTATCTCCTCCAAAAAATATAGTTTATTCAATAATAAATGAATATGTGAATCATAACAGTTCTTCACTATATCTGTAAAGCGTCTTTGAGCACCTGTAAAAACGCTAACAAATTAAATCTATTATTATTATTTATTAACAGTGTTTGACAGCTGATAGGAATAATATGATTGTTAATAGTATCATATTCATTCAGAAAAACATCGATGAGACAGTTAATTAATATACTTATTGCAGCAGTCTGTATAGATTTGGTTCCCCTGCTGGTCTAAGAGTGAGACAAACTCATTCAGTTATTGTTCAGTTAGAATTCATTAAATTACGTCTGCCACCTTATAAGTAAGGCTTTACTGATGTGCCACAATAATATCACCTATGTGATTGAGTTAAAATATTAATATTGTGGCTTTCCAAGTTAACATTGATTGTAGGGGTGTAACGGTTCACAAACATTTCGGTTCGGTACGTACCTCGTTTTTGGGTCACGGTTCGGTTCGGTACGTTTTCGGTACAGCAGAAAAAATTATCACAAAACATTAAATATTTTTTTTAAATTATTATTAAACTGTGACTAATGTATTCAAATAAATACAAAATATAGTAAAATAAACATTAAGGTGCAGCATTTCGATGAACTGAAATAATCTGTATTTGAACTGTACTAGTACCTAAGCAGCCAGCTTGACATTAGGACTTGCTTGTCATTGTATTTTCATGTTGTTTAAAGAAAGATGAACTTGTCCACATTGCTTGCTGAAATGGCAGATCTGCTGGCACTAACAATGTCTCCTGCTGTGGAGAACACCCTCTCTAGGGACAGTGGCAGCAGATACAGCCAGGTAGCGCTTTGCTAACATGGCAACATAAGGATATTTGGCATTTGTAATAGCTTTGGCTCGGTCTGAACTCTTTGCGAGTGGTGGAGGCTTACATGCTAGTGGGAGTTGGGTTTGCACTTCAGTCTTTTTTCTTTTGGTCCCGGTGATATTCACATTCGGGTGATGCCTTTTCAAATGAGTGTGATGTATTGCCAGCCGCGTAACCAATGTTATTTGAACAATGCCGACAAACAGCTTTGGTTCGGTCCACCTGTCTTTGTCCGTCATCCTTGTACGTAACTGCGAAACCAAAATGTTCCCAAACCGGAGACTTCAATGATGCTGGAGGATTTTCAGCTCAACTTTATCTGCGTTCGCCATTTCGACAGTTCCTCAAATTACTGACTACATTTGAACGCATCCCTGTGACCAGCTCTCATAGTATGCCTCTCGTCCAATGAAATTACTTGGTCGCTCTATGATATATACCTGAGATTACTTCCAGAAAGTTGTTCATGTTCTCAATTTTTTACGTTTAACGATATTCGTTCGGTACACACGTGTACCGAACCGAAGGGCCCGTACCGAATAATTTTAGTACGTGTACCGTTACACCCCTAATTGATTGATATGATTGCGATTTAAATCAGCATATACTTCTGTCAGGGGATGCCACCCCTCAAAATCTCCTGCCACCCCATGAATATTTGTCTAGATCCGCCCCTGGGTAGAGGGCACTCATTCAATTATCAACACCAGATCAAAAGTTGGGCGTGGAAATAGACAGAACAATTGTTTGCTATTCTATTGCTAACAATGTGCAATTGGAGACGCATTTTAGGGATATAAACAACGTCTGTAACACAGGATAAGTGGAATGATGGTGTGCATCGTGATGTATATACATCTTGAGTCGTCTTACCACGCTAGCTGCTGGAGGCTCTTCTGGTTCTCTTTTCTCTGGCAGGTGGACTTTTGTTTTATCCATACTGATGGGCACTGCCTCTAAACACAGCACCTGGACCAGCAGCAAGACCCAGCCGGTGAGAAGGGCCCGGCTCAAACACATCTGGAAATGAGGAAAATTCAGGTCAGACCATTTATATATAAAACAATACTATTCAAATTAAACAGTGTATGCAAACACACATTCTACACGGCCCTGGGTTAACGAGGTTCGTTTTGAGGCCAGCTTCCTCATTTCACTTATTGAAGGCACTTGCACATTATTGGCTAGCTACTTACATCCTGATCCTGAGGAAGCTGCTGGTGTTAGCATTAGCACTGCCACTGACATATTTTGGCTAATGAGAATCAATCACCTAAACTATAGATGTATGCTGTTAGTCTGAGTAGCGCAGCCAACGTTACTGTTGATCACACCAATGCCTGAATTGTGAACCCATATACTTATATGCGTCACTTGTATACCTTATTATGAATCCTGGATCTCATCTGCTCTGCTTTCCTGGCGTTGCTTCCTCTCAGCTGTTGTTGTGTCGGCAGCTAGCTGCTAGTCAGCTAGTCAGCATGTTCGGTTGTGTGCGTGGTAGCATCAACCGCAGTGGTCAGTTTAGCTGTCAGTCAAATCGGTCTAGCAAGTTGCGTTGCATTGAATTTTACGTGGCGACATGACGACGGAGCAGGTGGGCGGGTCTTTTAACAATTATCTGATATATTGAAGGTCAGTAATTTAGTAAACATACACATGATGCAGTGATGCTGAAAGATCTTTCAGCTCTTTCTCGGTGCACAGTTTTATATAAAAAAATGCATCACACTTAGTGATGTATCAAGTCTTTATCCGAGTGTAATACACAATACTATGTAGAATATATCTGTATCAAATCAAGTACACATCAAATGTTCTAATATTTCACTGCAATGAAAAGAGTCAGATAACTACCTAATGTTAAAATAATAATACATTTGATTATTTCTATAGCACCTTTCTTAGAAGAAAGTAGTAAATCCACACCACTGTATAATAAACACCTACCCAGTATCCTACAATTATCTCCAAATTGCACACGTTTTATTTGTTTAAAAACAACTCATTAAGCAGCAGTCTGTGATTAATGGGTCAAGATGCACCTCTCACCCAGCCTTGCTCGCTGTGGAGATCTTACATGGAGTGTGATGGCTATACTCACATATGGTTACACTCCTCTTGGTGCACTCTGCAGTCTGCACAGGCGGATGAAACCATTGCTTCTTGAAGCTTTTTAAAATCACTCAAATAAATTGTAAGTCATCTTAAAAATATCGACACTTTTCTATGTGTTGCATTATATACAAATACCAAGACCCAGTTATCCATTAGTCTTGCGTCTTGGTTGTAATCTGTAATCAGTTTTTCCATCTTTGAAACTCAATTTAGCATCCATGTGCATAATCAAAAGATTGAACTGGTGAAGTTGTAAAGCACTTGATAAAATGAGCGTTATCTGTGCAGCAGTTTGCCGTTTAAAAATGATTGGATTTGATCAGCCCAGCATTACATTTATTTGCAGACTAGAGTTTATATTGTATGTATATTCAATTTGATTCCAAATAAAAAAACATACTTGTATGCAAACACAAATGTAATCTCCCATCTATCCAACAGAGGGTGCTATTGTGCTGTCTGTTCACAGTAATGTAGAACTGGAAGTCCATGACATTTGAACTATAGTCAAATATTAAGAGAGCCAAAGGAAACAATGAGTGGACAATTAAAACCAACTTGTCCCTGTATGCTCCTGCACCTGCAGAAGTTGTTACATTTGTTGAGTTTTATTGCAAACATAAATTAGAAAACCTTTAAACTGTGTTCAAATCTTTATTTTAGATTACCCTCTTTCTTCTTTCAACAGCTACAAGGACCATCTTAGATAAAGGCCATTAATATATTGCACAGGAGATTAAAAAACATTTGCTTTCTGCTGGAACTTTGGGTGCTAGAATAAAACCCCTAAAACACTATTTATGAGCCTTGGCTGGTCAAACAAGACAATGAATAAATGTTTTATCTGGAGCTGTTGGCTTATTGCTCAAAAATAATATCCATGCCCTGTAGAAGTCAGTGTATTAGTTTGAGCTGGGTGGCAATTTATCATTGTCTAAAATCATAAGAAGTGGAAGACATTTGGGGAAGATCAGCACTTAAATGATTAAATTCAGCGCATAATGAACAGGAGACTACTGTCTGAAAAATATGACCCCACACAGTGTAGTTAATAATGCAGCCACTTTGAGTCACCTGTGCACTCATTTATATATGCTACCTTTCTGTGCAGAGATTAAGAGATAATTTGAGAAAACGCATTTCTCATACATGCTATTGATTTCGGCATCTGCCAGATAGATTAGGACCTGAGCTTATCTGTGCTCAAGACCTGACAATCAGAAAAAACCCAAAGAGATCCTTTATTACATTCTCTGCTCATCACCTTTGGTAAGCTGTGATTCAGCAGGAGGAGACTCTCTAAGGAGAAGACAATAACATTGAGTCACCTTGCTGCATTGTGAGCCTCTGGCAGCCAAGAGGCAGGAATCAGCAGCAGCAGAGACCGTGCTGCAGAGCTGCACTGGACTGCGCATCAACTATGTGTGCATTTGTGTATGAATTAGTATGTATAAAGAGGGGGGTGGTTGTAGAGGGGATGATGATAAATCATGGCAAGGTCAAATAACAGCAATTGAGGGGGGATACCGAATGATTACACTGCAGTATGTTTAATGTTCCAGAAACCCTATACCTAATTTTGCTGACCGGTTGAGAAATACATAACTGGTTAAGTGAGAACCACATTATATCAAATGTTATAGCATTACCAATAATATGGTGGTACTGTTGATTATACTGGACAATATTGCTGCTCGTTGGAGATCCCTGCATGGTCTCCCATTTACGTTACAATGCAGAAAACTGAATCCCCAAAATGCAGCATGTTCTCTCTCCAGATCTGTTGCAATTGTGGAATGGTGAATCATTTTATTGTTTGCACATTGGATGTGTCTTCCTTCAATTTAAAACATATTTAGTACAGTATAGGAGACGTGTGAAACCAACATGTACATAACGGGTCTCTTGGTATAGTGTTGGGCCACTATGATCTGCCGAAACAGATTTATTGCTGCTTGGCACTGAATGATGATGATTGAGGGCACTGTGAAACATGTCTCCCTATGGTTTTCAATTGGGATTAGATGTGGTGATTTTCTGTTACCCATCTGCAGATCAGATTTACTTGAAAGTTCATTTTGTATTATGTTTCCAATTCAAACAGAGACCCCATATGTACGGTTAGAAACACGTTAAAGCAGTAACAATCCATTTGTTCTTTGACTCCTCTGATGCGCAGATAACAAGAAGGTTTACAGTGAATTGGTTTCTGTTCCGCAGCTGCATCATGATGGTTTCTTTTAGAGGATTTTTTTTATCTATCCCTATCTTTGAAGAGCAGTGCCTTAAACCACTGGAGAATGCTTCAACAAAGCACCCCCCAAAGGGAATCCTAGATCAAATATTTATAATGTTGATAAATGCTCTCTGCTCACTGATGTGTGTGCACCCCATATAGTAATATTTCTTCTCACAATGGGACTGCACATTTCACTGTAATCTACACTACACAGAAAACACAAGGGGGGAGGATGGGTTATTTCAGCACTTTGTGTAGGTATTGCTCTTCCACAGTTTCAGCACATAATGTTATATCACATTAATGACAATGCAGTTATATAATAGAGAACTTATGACAAAGTGAATCATTGCTGCTTCTCTGTTGGGGCTCGATGCTCAGCAAAAATAACGCCTGTGACAACATTGCTGTGACTTTGAACATTGCTTGCCCTCACATAGCCCAAGTGGAATGTATGGGTACACTGGTAAATTGGGCAGGTCTGTTTGATGCAGTGTAAGCATTATTGTAATGTGTCATGGTCAGGAAGCTCTCCGTCCTCAAAGTGTGACTGCAGTGAAGGTGATGTGTGAGTCTCACAAACTACATCTAAAGCTCCAATGCATGGACATACATTAATTTACCCATGCAGGCATGCTCCCCTCTGACACACACACACACACACACACACACACACACACACACACACACACACACACACACACACACACACACACACACACACACACACACACACACACACACACACACACACACACACACACACACACACACACACACACACACACACACACACACACACACACACACACACACACACACACACACACACACACACACACACACTTTTAGAGAGGCCTTGTACTGAAATTATCTTTCTCTCAAGGTAATACGCATAACTAAAGAATGTGTGCCAGTCCCTCCCTCTCCTCCTCCTTCCTCACTCATACAGATGTGTCTTAGAGTTTCTTTCCATACGTCTTAAGTGTGCTTGTGCCTTTTCCCAACCTTGTCTTAATGCATTGCTAGTTGCCATGAACATAAGGGCAAATATAGGGTACATAACATTAGAGGAGGGTCAATTGCAATGTTTATTTCTCTAATTATATATATATATAATAATTAATTGTCTCCTCAGAAATGGCTCAAACCTGTCTCCTATAACAAATACGTGATCAAATATTTCAGTTAGAATAATGGGTTTATTGTTTTATCCATATTTTGTCATATATCTCCCTCACAAAATGACATCTCTATCGTAATACTTAGATTATAAAGATAAAAGTAGGCATAATGGTCTATTTTGGTTTAATTAGGGAATTCCTGTAATTCTTAAGTATCCCATAAAGGACTTTCATTTTCTTGACATAGTTTTAGGATTGCTTTAAAGTATGCTTTATGTGTGCTCCAAATTGCCAAGAAATGTCACATGCAAGCGCTAATCCAGTGCACTTCTACTACACCCTGGGGAATAGGCTACACTACTTTTCAATGCAGTGGGTTCCATGTATTACATTACATTGCATTTTTTAAATATTTTTTATATAATATAATATATTTTTTTATAAATCTCTTGTAGAGATCTGACCTTTATTTCAGAATCTACCTCACTGCTACTTGTGGGAACTATTGAGCCCTATGCTCAAGTCACTTATAAAGCAGAAGTGGTCGAGTTTGGTATTCTTCCCCTTTAAAAAAACTATGCAGCCCTAGCGGTGGTTGTATCCGGGCTCCCAGGAAAAGTGTTCGGAGAGGGAGAGGGGGGACTAGGCGAGCCGGAGAGGAGAGATCATGGCGGCACCGCCTGGACGGGACACCCTACCTGACCACTGGTCCTATGGAGTTTGTAGAGACGGCCGAGTCTTCTTTATTAAGTGAGGGGTTTCAGCTGTTCATCGCCTGGTACTTTATGGGGCATTATTAAGGATTTTAGTTGTTTTATTATCGCTCAGTAACAGGTGTCTTTCTTGCAGTGATAAAAGTCACAGTACTACTTGGCTACATCCACGCACTGGTGAACCTGTTAACTCTGGGCACATGATACGGTCAGGTACGCGACAAACTATCGGATTTGTTGGATACCGAGGGGACATTTTTCTTGCTGCAATGTGCTTTCTGTCTGTGGCGGGACGTTCACTGTGTTTTTCTTCGTGTTATAGATTTGCCAAGAGGATGGGAAGAGGGCTTCACGGACGAAGGAGCTAGCTACTTCATCAAGTGAGTGGCTCGTGTGCATTGTTTCGATGTTTGGCGGTGTACAATGTGATTATCTTTGCTTGGTAGTGTCCTTTTCAAATGTGTTTCTACTCCTTCATTTTCCTTTCTGTTTCTGTGCAGCTCAGACACGTTTGGTAACAGGATTCAGTTGAACTAGAATTAAAGGCTCTCTTGTTAACACAATATTTTATCTAAAAACACAGTGTGCACATGACTAATGAGTCAGAAATACATCAGCATATGGATTAACACACAGGGGTCCCATCGGATAGGTGAGAGCAATTATCTCTGCCTGCATTGTTAATGGCAAGTGGCAGAGCCTAGCAGGACAGGAAGAGGGTTATTAAAATTCTCCTCACATCCTCCATGCAGGACCTCTACACTCTCTATTAGATAGGTGTGCAGCCTTGGTGTGTGTGTGTATGTGTGTATAAGAGAGAAAGAGAGAGAGTGTGTGAGAAAGAGACTGTAAAGGTTGCAGGGGAGGGGTGTGACCATGTGGTGACAGAGATGTATGGCATGATTGCATTATTGAAGCAGAGAGGACAGGATTTACAAAGTCACAGTCCGCATTGTGAAGTTTATTTTGGTCACATTTCACATGTCCTTAACAACACTATATTGCAGGATTCAGGTTTGAAAATCAGCAAAAGCCACCAAACAGTACCAGGCTGACACATCTGTAGTGTTGAACTAACCCAATAAGCCTGTGCATTACATTTGCATTAACATCGATTAGGTTTTGCACCAAAGATGCTTGTGTGGATTCTGCTCTGTAGCAGTCCAGGACACAAGCATACACAGTGAATCGTGCTGACACCAATCTGATATAGCAGGCTTAGAATGACAGACAGAAAGCCTACTTAAAAAATAAATACATTCTCCCTTTGCGTTCGATCATTGGGAATCACCATAACTCCCTTGTTTAACTACTACTCACCCTCTCATGGTCCTCCTAGTCTGCCCCACTTGTTCCAGACCTCTGTATGGATACATTCCCTGTCCTCATAACTGCATTCTTTCTGGTAGATATTATTGAGAAGGGTTTCACTCAACCACAAGCAGTGCTCTGCAGACACCAGTTTGTAGCACCAAATTAACAATACAACAACTTTTTTCATTTTTATCAAGAAAGCAATGCCTTCTATAAGTATAACAATGTAATACAAGTGACAGATGTTGGCTTTCAAAACAACACATCAAATGGTTCAACTAATACATTTGGCTTTGCTGACACTTGTATTGTGTGCAGTAGACAAGCGGTCATTGTGTTTCTCTTGTTTGCTCGCTTTTTGTCTGTAAGAAGCAAGAACAATACTACATTGAAGTTGTGTGATTAATGGTAGCCCCAACATTAAAGGCTATTCAATCAGTCAAATACTCGTTTCCCAGTTGGCTTGGTGGAAGGATCCTGTTTTGCTCCTGCTCAAAGCTTGTTTCTGTATTTTTGAGAGCTCATTTGTTTGACTTAAACTGTGGACAGGAACACACAGTTTGTTGTCTTGTACCATTCAGCTTCTCCAGAGCAAAGTTGATATCCTTCTAGGTTCTGTTGGGGTGTGAAAGGAAGTTCAATTATTGTGATTTTGCCAAAGTAGGTAAATGTGCTGGGTGATTATTTGAAGTCATGATGTAATTGTTTTGTGAAACAATTGCCAATATATCGGATATCATGTTGAAACAGTATAACACTTTTTATGTAATCTTGTGTCATATCCTTTGCCTACATATTGTAAATATTTGACAGCAAATTGTAACATATTGCTATTGTTTCCCAATTGCTATGTGACAAATTGATTGGTGTTTGTTTAATTCTTGAAATAGCGTGACTATAAAGTCCCATATCGCTGCTTAGTGTTCATGTGGATGATTACTTAGAAAAACAGCTGAAAAGAAGTGAGGAGCACAACCTTTTCATTACAACTCAGTGGGAAACATGTCTGTTACTCTTGGCTGGTGATGGATTACTGTCATTTTCTTGTTGCATTTTATCCCTGGTGGTTTATTTGGTTTATTGCAGACTTAACTGATGCCAGGTTTCTGTATATGTCCCATCGGTCTACAGCGTTATTACAGGAACTGTCATTTGTGTTTAGCTAATCTGACTTTTATCTCCAGAAATCAGACCGTGCTAATTTGTTATTAATCAATTCTTAAAAACACAAGTTGGTTTCATAAATTACATTAACATTCAAAATACCATTAACATGATGGTACCTGAAACACTTTAAGACAGTGAAGACGAGTCCATGTCAATGCTATTATTCCTTACACCACTTTAAGAGATTAGGCAAGTCTATTTCTCTGCTCCAGGGTGCAAATTGTGGTCCTTTGTGTTTTGATGAATTTGATCTCATGCTCATAATTCTCCCTTAAACGTCAGAACTTATGAGAACCAGTAAACTATTTCGTATAAACCCCTGCTCTCCATCTCACTTAATGTATCTTAGCCTTCCAGGAAGCATAAACTCAACAGGACTGAAGTCAACATTGTGCTCCTGTGAGATCTGTTTGTAGATTTGGTTGTGTGTTAATGGTGGAATTTAGCTGAGGTGGTGTACAAAGGAGGGATTGTATGTTAGGACAACGCCGCTGTGGCAAAACTCACATTTATTTACACTTCGCTGTAGGCAAGCTTGCAGACATGAACTATCGAATTAAAGGAATGCTAATATTTGTTGTTTACAAATCAAAACACTCAAATTTGAAAATGTTAGTGCCAATGAACACAGTTTTACACAGTCAGAGCCAATGAATGAGGTTTGCCGCCATCTGAGCTGATTGAAATAGTGTCTGTCTCTAGCTGTCATACTTCTGGCAGATCTCCAAGGGACTGACCCAATTTGAAAGTCATCCCCCCAAATCATCCAATTTCAATTTTTAAAGATAATATGCCAGAGATGAAGCAGGTCTGTGTGTTGAGGTAAAAATGTGTAATGGATGCATATCAGTTTCAGTAAGCAAAGTTCTGACAAATAAGTTGTGTGCGACATGTGTATAACATATTGTATAATAAGTTAGATAACCAAGTTAAGCTTCCCTTTTAAAGATATAAGAAAGATGCCTAACAACAGTCAAGATACTTAATAAATTCCCTCCTATGGTTTAGGAAGGAAACGGAGTTCAGTTAGATTTACTTTCAACCACATCATTTGCACTCACTGAGCATTGGAAATGTGCAATTCTATAGGTCCCTGAGGGAAAAATGACCCCACTGAGGTACAATGGTGTCCTGTTTTCGACACAGTTCACATTGTTGAATGGGCTTACAATACTTTGGATTGAAAGTCCAGGAAGTGTGTAATCTAAAACTCACATAGATTTCACACCAAAAAAAGGGCTTCAGTCAACTTCATTTACTCCTCCGGTGTGATAACCCCATCAATATGTTATAGTGTTTATTTTCCCATTCCCCTGCTGCTTGTTGTGTTTTTAGACTGGGCTTGCATTTTTTAACTGAGTATTTTTGATTTGGGCAGTATGATTTAATTAGCCATGGGATGTTATGGGAGTTTTGAAGCAGAGCATTTTAATAGGGGATAACAAAGGAGTTTAGTATCCCTACAGGCCCCTATCTTAAGGCTGTTTAATAAAGCTTTCCTTTTTCTGTGAACACAGCAAATCCATACCCCATTCACTCATTGCCAAAAAAGATAGATGAAGAAAAATGAGCCCCAAGGACCTTCAACTGAACTTTGCCCTTGCTGATGTTTGATTATCTAAACATGAAAGATTTGTATATTTCAATTTAAGTCTCCAATTGTGCTCTAATGCTATATAAGTATCTGGGGTTAAAGCGTCCATTTATAGAACTGTCAAATTGTACTGACATGACTTTTGAGGTGAGATAAAACTTCAAATAGGTTTGAGGGCCTTTCTTTGTGAGACGACTTGAGAACATGAGGATTTAGGATATGAGTTTTAACGTGTTTTCCCAACTGGTCCTCCTTTGGGCTCAGGAAGGAAGACAATCCAGTTAGTTGTTGTTTTTCAAAGAGGCAAAGGAACTGCCTAATCTCCCTTGTGACCCCTTTTAGAACGGGTCAATGCTCGGATTAAGACCCAGAGTGAAACCCCAAACTTCATCTAATCTATTGAAGTTTAACAACATATTTCACTGACATTCGTTGAGACATTAGATAAGAATGACTACTGTTAGATTTGCTTAGTCACTTTTTATTTGCAAAGGACCTTGCATGTAAAGGAATGTTGTTTAGAAATCTTTGTTGGGTGCCTTGGGAAGTAATATAGAAAGATTGGAAACACACTACTGAATACTAATTGGATGGAGCTCTAAGGCTGCAGGCAAGAGAGGGATCAGTGCAATGCTTTTGGTTTCAGCAAAGATGAGGTGAGGGTGACAGGAACAGCTGTTCATCTACACTGATCGTCTACTTACTCTAAGCCTATTCTGTCTATACCAACATCAATATCGATATAAACATCTAGACAGTGTCCGTGTATAAACTGTGCCTGGGTGTTACAGACAAGAAGGGTAAAAAGTATGAATGTATGGAAGACATTTGGTGTGTCACTGGGTTCATCTAGTTTGAATTGTTCTGTCACAGATGTTTGGGAAGGCTGTGGCTCAGTGGGTAGAGCCTTGGTGTTTGGATCAGGGGGTCACAGGTTCAAACCCCACTGCAGTCAGCATGTCGTTGTGTCCCTGGGCAAGACAATTCACCCCAAATTGCTCCTGTGGGGATTGTCCACAGTACTGAATGTATGTAAGTCGCTTTGGATAAAAGCGTCTAACAAATTACATGCAATGTTTCATGTAATACAATCCCATTACATCTAAGGCCTTCCTACCGTATGTGCTCTCCAGTAAACATCTCATTTAATATTTATATAGCGCAGGTGTGCACCCTATAGGTCTTCACCATGCCTTCATACTAGCTCATGTCTTGGCACAGCTTACAGACAGTGTTGCATCTTCCTACAATTCAATGCCCACAAAGGGCCAGCTATGCTTGTTGGACTGACTACATATGCTGTGA